GAGATGTTATGTGGTCAGAGAGGGAAGGGAGTCAGACGGAGGCGGGGGTAGGGTTGTGGGTGCAAGCTGGGTGGGATAGGAAGAGAGAGGAGGTATCGGGCAGAGTAGCCCCTGAGGATGACCAGGAAGTGTAGGAGGGGTGTCTGAGTTCCCTGTCCCGGGCTGCTGCCGCGGTCAGAAACTCACTCACCCCAGTGATGTCTCTCCTGGTGCCTGGACCGGAACTCCTTGCTGCTAGCTCATCTATTCATTTTTTTATCCAAAGTTTTATTTATTGTTTTTAAAAATCAAACAGTGTTGTCTGATGTAGGATTTACCTCTGTATGTCGTGAATATGATTGTTTAATAAAGAAAGCTGGCTTGAGCCTATGGCAGGTCATTGCAGAGGTAAGCAGGGAAGATGGAACTGATTGCTGGTAGAAAGAAGGGAGTGTAGAGAGAAGCCATGGAGCCACTGCCAGAGACAGACGTGCTTAAACTTTGCTTTTTAGGTCATGACCTCGTGGTGATGCACAGATTAATGGAGATGGGTTAAATTAAGATGCAAGAGTTAGCAAATAATAAGCTAAGGCTAATAGGCCAAGCAGTGATTTAATCAATATAGTTTCTCTGTGATTATTTTGGGGCTGAGCAGCTGGAACCAACAAACGTCCTTCCTTCAATAAATTGGCACCCACATGGCCAACCGAAATCCACACAAAACCTGAGAAAGCTTTAAAGTAATTCTAGACACAAAAATACAGAGTTTAAGACAGCTTCTTGCTGTTCGCTGGTGGCACGCCACAGTTCCTTTGAGAGTGGTTTTCCTGATTCAGTGATAGCAGGAAACGTTGCAGTTTTGAAATGCCAGCTTTATGTGCCTTGCTGCCAGTGCAACTCTAAGTCTTTCTCAAGAGGTCCAGCGATGGAGCATTTAAATGGGGTTTGTAAGCAGTGTCTTACAAACTGTTTAATGGCTTGACATAGAGCTGCTGATACTTAGAACCGAGGTAGGTGATGTATGTGGTTCAAAGGTAATGAACAGACCTCCTCCATCATATTGGACTGGGCCAAGCAAGCTGGAAGTGCTGCATTTGACCTAGTAATTCCGCAGCTTAAGTTTTTAAGAAGCACTTGGCATTTTAAGCAGCGCCCCTGTACAGTAAAGAATTACAGATACACAGCAGGACAGATTCAGACATAAAAGAACTCTGAATAAGTCACAGTGTCTAAAGAATGTACATAGGCTTGAGAGAGAAGAAAAAGAGTAAAGGGACAGTCAATGTAATATAAATAGATTAAAGAAGTAAAGATAATAAAATAAATATTAATAAGTAAAAAGTAATAGAGTAAGAAAAGTAAGAAAAAAGGCTCTTCTTTTGTTTCAACAAAGGAGGAGATCCTGTGGAATCATTAGAGACTAATATGGTTTTATGGAACAAGAGCCACTGAAAGGTTGCCATGAATACCCCCCCAGAAATTACTCCACCCAACTACTGACTTTGATGAATCTAGCACACAAGATATACCATGAAAGACTTGATAAACAGTGCCCTAGTCAATATGAAGTAGTCTAGAGAACTATGCCCAAATTTCCAAATATTGTTTATAATCATTTCTTTACATTTAAATGGGGATATGCTATAAAGATTTGCATGGATATGGATCTTGGTTTATTGATACAAATTTAAGGTCAATTTTGTTATACTGTGTATATATATTTTTCTGCTCTTGATTAAGGTATTGTGATTGTGAAGCTCATTTAAAAATGTAATGTATAATTAAGAAATGTAGGTAAATAGAGAGTAATCTATAATAGTCAAGCTTCTAATCATGTTATTTAGGTTTCCTAGACATATAGAGATATAATTAAACTATATAGGTGATTTTCAAACTTTTCAAAGACCTACAGAATATGGCATTTAAATGTTTTAAGAACTTAGGACTTTTCATTACAATGAGACACATATGCTCCTGGCAGCACCAATCTTCTTCAAGAGGAAGATGAATGGGCATTGGAGAGGCTCCTTATGGAGTTGATTAGCCATTTGGGGAAGAAACTGCTCTTTCCTGGACTGATTGATGGTATGCTATGTGAACTGGACCCACAGAGAAATGACTGCTGAACTTGTCTAAAGGTGAGATGGTCCTTTGGGGTTCCTGCTACATGAAAGAGTCTGCCAGACATTCTGCAGAACACAGAAGAAAGTGACTGACAAACTGCCAATATAGGCAGAACTGTCTTTGAAATTTTCTGTTTCATGGAAATGTCTGCTGGATACTATGGGTCTGTAGGCTGAAGATGGATGCCCCAATGATACAGAAGAACTTTGGGTGACTATCCAGGCAGTGAAATGTCTCTGGCAATTCTAGAGTTTTGGAAGTTGCTTACAATGCACTTCCTGTTAATGTAGGTAATATTATATCCTTGTGGAGTCTTTGATGGAGTTGAACTATTTATAGTTATAGTTTTCCTTAGTTGTGATAAAAGATAAAGAAAATATAAATATTGTAAGTGTAATTCATGCTTGATACCTGTTTTATTGTATGTAATTTTACTATGTTAAAGTTAAAACCTTACTTTTTATTTAAACAGAAAAGGGGAGGTGATATGGGATTTTATTCTGTATGCTGTGAATATGATTTGTTAATAAAAAATCTGGCTTGCGTTTACAGCAGGGCAGAACAGAGGTAGGCAGAGAAGACAGAACTGAATGCTGGGAGAAAGAAGGGCAGAGTAGAAAGCAGTCATGGAGCTGCTGCTGGAGACAGAAGTGCTGAACACACCATGAAGGCCACAACTTCATGGTGATCCGCAGATTAATGGAGGTGAGTTAACTTAAGATATAAGATTAAGCCAATAAGAAGCTAGAGTCAATGGCCTAAGCAGTGATTTAATTAATACAGTTTCTGTGTGATTATTTTGGGGCTGAGAGGCTGGAAGCAACAAGCAGTCTTCCTCCAACAGTTGTCATATAGATATAACCATCATGTTGAAATAGTGTATGATGTGGAGGCTCTATCCCCAGGCTTCATGTCTCAATTCTGTGTCTTTACTTGTTGCTCTTGCGAGTTCCTTTACTTCCCACAGCAAACCCAGCACCTACATAGTTTCTGCTGAATTGTCAATGTTAAGTGGATTGTGAGTGGTTGCTAGTTCAGACTGCAGAGCATCTAGGCACTGCTGCCCTTCTCCCTCTAGGCCTCATGGGCAGTGCAAGCTTGTGATGCCAAAGACTGGTGAATGTCTAGCATCATTCCTGGGCCATTCATCTGGTGCCTGAAAGTGGTTAAGCCTCCTAAATGGATGTTGAGCACATCTTCCAGCTCCAGTTTCTTTTGACTGGATAAATATGAGCATTACTTTGGGAGATTTTTCCACAAACATGTCAACACACAAATGTCCACACTCACACGTGCATGCACACACATATACATTTTTTTGCTATGTTGACCTTTATGTCTTCCATGGTCATCATTGGTGTTTATGATTCTATTATTTCTACTGCCTCAGTTCAGTCTGGGTTCTATTTCTGTAGGGTAATAGATGGAATGAACTTGTTTCTCCTTAATATCAGTTTTTCTGATTGTGGAGTCTTTCTGACAAAATTTTTGTCATTGATGACCCTGGGAGCCAGGCTAGTCAGGGTCATGAGTGTCCTTTCTGTAACATGAACTACAGATCTTCCTTCCTCATCTCTGTCTTGTTTTGCTTTTCTGAAACCAGTGGGCTTCCTTCCATTCTTCTACACTATCTTATGAGGTTTTGTAGATAGCATATAGTTGAATTTCACTTTTAACATCTATTCAGCCAATATAACTCTTTTAATTGGAAAGTTTAATCTTTTTCTGAAAAGTTTCTGTTTTAGACTCGAATGCTAGTTTCCTAGGGCCTTGCTTGTTTGTGACTTGGCTTATGTCTCTTGTTTTAAGAATTTTTTGGCTTGGACTTTTTTTATTGATTATTATTGAGCTCTACATTTTTCTCTGCTCCCATCCTTGCCTCTCCCTTTCCCCTTAAAACCTCCCCCATGGTCCCCATGCTCTTAATTTACTCAGGAGATCTTGTCTTTTTATACTTCTTATGTAGACTAGAGCTATATAAGTCTCGCTTACTTACCTCATTGTTGTTCGTGTTCTCTGGGTTCGTGGTTTGTAGGCTGGCTTTCTTTGCTATATGTTTAAAAACCAGCTATGAGTGAGTACATGTGATAACTGTCTTTCTGTGTCTGGGTTACCTCACTCAAAATAATGTTTTCTAGCTCCATCAGTTTTCCTGCACAATTCAAGATGTCATTATTTTTTCTGCTGTGTAGTACTCCATTGTGTAAATGTACAATATTTTCTTTATCCATTTTTTTGGTCGAGGGGCATTTAGGTTGTTTCCAGGTTCTGGATATGACAAACAAAACTGCTATGAACATAGCTGAGCACATGTCCTTGTGGCATGATTGAGCCTCCTTTGGATATATACCCAAAAGTAAGATTACCGGGTCTTGAGGAAGGCTGTTTCCTAATTTTCTGAGAAATCACCACATTGATATCCAAAGGGGTTGTAACAGATGGCATTCCCTCCAGCAAATGCAGAAGTGTTCTGACTCACTTGCTCAGCGGTTACTCCCCTGTCCCTGTTTGGGTGGAGTTTGCCAACTCTGGATAAGGTCGCTGGATCAGTCCTCATCCACTCATGTACCGGGACTGGGTTGGCTCCTGTCACCTGATTTATTCCTGGCTTCTACTCCAGGTGGACCTTGCTTCCTCAGGCCCTCTCTGTCCTAGGTAGCTGGTTCAGTCCCTTGCCTTGAACTTTTAAGAGCTTAAATATAGCTTATGTTTGACAAGACCACATCAGTTTAATCTAAACAGAGTTCTTTTAATTGATTGCACTTAGATGCTCATGTATTTCTCAATGTTTGGAAGGCTTTAAACTATTATTTAACTATACTTATTTGTAGGTGCGTTACACATGCATATCATCATGTGTGTGGAGATTGGAGCACAAATTATGTTCTCTCCTTCTATCAGGTGGGTTCCAGGGATGGAACTCATAACACCTACTTGGAAGCAGGAACTGCTAACCACCAAGCTGCCTCATCAACCCCCATGGAGTAAGTTTCTTTTCATTCTGTAACTCCTACAATGCACAAATTTTTATTTCTAGATCTTGTTCGCCTTATATACTTTATTCTTTGTTGTTTTCCTATTCCTTTGTCTTTGTTTTGTGTAGCTTGGTATTTTAAAAGCCTGTGTTCAAGCTATGAATTCATTCTTCTGCATGATGCAATCTGTCATGGAAACTCTCATTGGCATTTTTCATTTCATTTATTGAGTTTTGTGTCATGTCTGTTTGATTTTTTTTCCATTAAAAATTGTTTTTTATTTTACATACCAACCAAAGTTAACCTCCCTCCCTTTCTCTCACAGCCCATCCTGCCTCTCATTCTACCCTCATTCACTCCTCAGAAGGCGTAAGGCATCTCTTGGAGAGTCAAGAAGTCAAGCATATCAAGTTGAGCCTGGACCAGTCCGCTCCCCCTGTATCCAGGCTATTTGGTTCTTTACATAATCTCTATTTTTTATTTTTAATTTAAAAAACCTATATTTTATTATTATACACACCCAATCCAAGTTCCCACTCCCTCCACCCCTCCCATTTCCCCCACTAAACCCCCAACCCCACATCCACTCCTCAGACAGGGTAAGGCACATTGCTTTGGGGAAGGTCCAAGGCCATCCCTTCTATATCTAGACTGAGCAAGGTATCCACCTAAAGAGAAAAGGTTCCCAAAAGCCAGTACAAGTAGTAGGGATAAATTATGGTGCCCATTCCAGTGGTCCCGCAGTCTTCTCCAGCCATGCAACTGTCAGCCACATTCAGAGGGACTAATTTTGCCCTATGCTTTTTCCTTCCTAGTCTGGCTGATGTTGGTGAGCTCCTGTTAGCTCAGGTAGACTGTTTTAGTGGGTATACCCATCATGGTCTTGAGCTCTTTGCTAATATTCTCGCTCCTCCCACTTTTAAACTTGACTTTGGGAGCTCAGTCCAGTGCTCCAATGTGGGTCTCTGCCTCTGTTTACATCAGTTGCTAGATGAATGTTCTATGGTGATATTTAAGATATTCAACAGTCTGACTCCAGGGCAAGGCCAGTTTGGGCACTCTCTCCTCTATTGCTTAGGGTCTTAGCTGTGGTCATCCTTGTGGATTCCTGAGAATTTCTCTAGAGCCGGTTTTCTTGCAAACCCCACAATGGCTCCCTCAATCAAGATATCTCTTTACTTGCTCTCATATCTGTCTTCCTCCATCTCTACTATCTTATTCCCTCAAGTTCTCGTCAACCCTCCCCTTCTTCCCTCCTTAACCACTTCTCGCTTTCTTTTTTCCTCCACCCCTATGTTCCCTCTTTTGTCAGGTGATCTTCTCTATTTTGACTTTCCATGTGGAACTATCTATGTTTTTCTTAGGGCTCACTACATTACTTAGCTTATCTAGGATCATGAACTATAGGCTCAATATCCTTTGTTTATAGCTAATATTCACTTATGAGTGAGTACATACCATATTCATCTTTTTGCATCTGGGTTACCTCACTCTAGATGGTGTTTTCTAGTTTCATCCATTTGCATGAAAATTTAAGATGTCATTTTTTTTTTACCACTGAGTAGTACTCTAATGTGTAAATTGCCACATTTTCTTTATCCATTCTTCAGTTGAGGGACATCTAGGTTGTTTCCAGGTACTGGATATTATAAACAATGCTGATATGAATATAGTTGAACATTTATCTTTATAGTATGATTGAGCATCTTATTTCTTTTCATACTTTCTCAAGTGATGGACTTTTTGTTTGTTTTTAATAAAGTCTGTATTTTTCCACATCTTTTCAAGTTTCTTTAGAATCATCATTTTAGGTTTTTTTTCTTAGGAATTCCATTGATTTCTTTCATAACATTTACTGGAAAGATAATTCCTTTTTATGTTAACTGTTTCTTCATTCTTATTGCAGTATGTATGGTTGATCACTTGCTTTTGTTGACTTTGTAGGATAGTTTTTTTTTTCTTTTTTCTTTTTTGTCAAGAGACTTTCTTCTGGAGATGTACCCAGAGTGTCATTAGGGTAGTACCATGGGCTTCAGTTCAAGCATTGTAGTCTCCAAGAAGCTTCTTCACCTACAATCTCAACATTGATGACACCTGTGTATGAGCATGTTTCAGTGGCCTAACTCACAAGTATTTTTTTTTTTTCCTGACAGGTCCCCTTAGGAAGTTAGTTCTCCATAGCTGTGAGGACAATGCCTGCTTTTGTGACTCAGGTTGGGTAGGCCACATTTTAGTTTCTGTTGTTCACTCCAGGTTGGGCTGATTTGATGAACCCAAAAAAGCAAGGCATGACTGACACAGACCTGAAAGGGAGGATGCTAATTCATTTCTTAGAGCCTCAAGGGATGAGGCTGCTGAAAGATCACAAAGGCACATCATGGGGTGCATAGTAGTGAAAAAGGCCATGTATCACTGTGTGGCAGCTGTGTGAACCAGGACCCTCTGGAGCTTTTTCAGTGCAGGGTCTCTATGTAGTCCTTGACGTTCTTGAGCTCTCTTTATAGATCAGGCTGGTCTCATGTAGATCCACTTGCCTGTGCCTCCCGAGTCCTGGCAGTCAAGGTTTACATTACCTTGTCCAATCTCTGCACATGGACCAGAGGAGCCTTTGCTGTTTTTCTGAGCCTCACCTCAGGAAAGTGAAGCTTTGCCGTTTTCCTACAGGTTTGAGGCCAGGCTCCTTGACATGGCCATGTCCGTGTCAACAACACACATTCACTCAAGGTTTCATCTATTCAGGGCTTTTTCCACCCCTCACAATTGTCTGAGGACCACACAGGGCTAAGGTACAATAGCAGGCTCAGCTAGGAGAACAGTTAATGTTCATTGTTTACACACCGTTTCTTCATGGGGACTTTATTCACTGAATTGATCAGGGCTGGCTGCCCAGGTACTCCCAGGGATTCTGGTGAGAGGAAAGGGCCTCTAAGCTGTTTCCTATGGCCTTGATAGAGCAGACTACTTTGTGGAAATGTAGGAAGTTGATTGGTGCTGATTGGCTACATTGTGGGATTCTTGGGGAAATGGTGGAGCTCAAGATGATGTCCTGCAGGAGAAGTCTGAGTGATGGCTGTGTCCGAGTTAATGCTGTAGTGTGCGATTACCTGAGAGCACTGCAAACTGGGCTCTGGCTTCTCTAAGAGCAAGTGTTTTAGATGCTTGTGTGTTGGACAGGAAGTGCTCAATGCATTCATGTTGGCATGAAGCTTAGGTTTGATCTCATGTGAGGAACTATAACAGTAGATATTGTGTCCTCCTTCACTAGGAGATTGTGTCACTCTTTGCAAGAACATATTGGGTCTCTGGGCTCTGTGAGATGTTTGTTTTTACCCTCATGCACGATACCAGTTGAATAGAGCTTGATTCACTTGGCTTTGGCCCTTGTTATAGAGGGAAACACGACAGATACATCTAGTCAGCTGTTTTGCTCGTGATTTCCCACTGAGCACTTACTGTGTGCCAGGGCGGGTAGTAGGGAGTGTGCACATAACAGAGAGAGACACCAACCTTGGCTTGAAAGAACTCAGCATTGCTCACAGATTTTCAAGAAGTATGGTGACTTTACCCCTGCCCTTATTTTAGTGATGAGAAACTGATAACAGAGAGGCAAAGTGATATTGTAAAAAGGAAATCAATCACTGAGAGTCTATGGTGAGGTCACCTTCCCTATTGGAATACAAGACTCCCTCCCCAGAAGCTGCTGACATGCTCCCAACTGTTTTCTCCTTTATCTTCCCAAACAACAAGGGATTGATTTCTCAACCCACAGGACCAAAGGTCCTTTCTTTCTCTCTTAAATCCTATGCCCTGCCAAAACTAGAGCAAAGGGGAAAGCAACAATTTACCCTCCCATCTCACTGAACTTTATCCCAGTTTTATGACTACTCTTGGTATCTACACTGTGCTCTTCCCCTCTGACCTTGGACTCTTGGATGGTGACCTTTTCTCCATTTTTCCCCATAACCTATATTTACCCCTCAAATGAGGGAATAGATGAAAGAGTTTTGGAGTTTGAACTTGACTCTCAGTTACACTTTTGTGTCTTTTTTCATTAAAATTATTAATGAATCTTAGAGTATTTCATATATTGTAATTTGATTATTTTCATCCCCTCTTCCAATTCCTCCCAGATCTGTGCCCCACTTCCCTAATACTGCACTCTGTGTCGTCTTCCCCCTCCCTAAACCTGTCAAGTTCAATTTGTGCTCCCGTGTACTCCTGGGTGTGTGTCTATTCACTGCAGCATGGTTGATCTATCAGGGTTTGATTTTTTTCTCTACATCTTTGCAGGATTTATTGTCAGTTGTTTTCTTGATCTTAGCCATTCTGTCTGGCATTAGATGAGTCTCAAAATTAACATTTCCCTAACTGATCAGAATGTTGAATACTCTTAAAAGAAATTTTCTAGTTTGTTTTTATACTTTTGAGAACTCACTGTTGCGATTCATTGATGTAGAAAGTCCTGTTTATGTGTTGCTTTTATTGGTTAAAGAATCTTCATTGGCTTATGATAGGGTAGAATAGAGCTAGGTGGGAAAACTAAACTGAATTCTGGGAGGAAGAAGGAGGAGTCAGAAGATGCCATGAAGCTGCCACTAGGAACAGATGTGTTGGATCCTTGCCGGTAAGCCACAGCCTAGTGGTGATACACAGGTTAATAGAACTGGGTTAAATTAATATATAAGAGTCAAACAATAAGAAGCTAGAGCTATGAGCCAAGCAGTGATTTAATTAATACAGCTTGCGTGTGGATATTTTGAGTCTGGGCAGCCAGGAAAGAACAATAGGGCTCCTACAACAAATTGGTGCCCCAATGTAGGTAACTACATCCACATAAAAACCTGAGAGAGCTTGAAAAGGAATTCTAGACACACACACACACACACACACAGAGACACACAAGCAGAGTTTAAGGCAGTTTTATGCTCTGTTTGCTAGAAGCAAGCAAAAGCATGATTCTTTTTTTTTATTATTATTGTTTTTTAAATTACCGTCTCCTCCCCGTTTCCATTTCCCTCCCCCTCCTCCCACACATCTCCTCCTCCCCCACTNCGAGAATGATGAGCAGTCCAGGTTCCCTGCCCTGCGGGAAGTCCAAGGTCCTCCCACTTCTATCCAGGTCCAGGAAGGTGAGCATCTGAACGGGCTAGGTTCCCACACAGCCAGTTCATGTATTAGGATCGAAACCTAGTGCCATTGTCCTTGGCTTCTCATCAGCCTTCATTGTCCGCCAGGTTTAGGGAGTCCGGTTTCATCCCATGCTTATTCAGTCCCAGTCCCGCTGGCCTCGATGAGCTCCCAATAGATCAGTTCCACTGTCACAGTGGGTGGGTGCACCCCTCATGGACCTGACTTCCTTGCTCATGTTCTCCCTCCTTCTGCTCCTCATTTGGGTCTTAAGAGCTTAGTCCGGTGCTCCAATTTGGGTCTCTGTCTCTATCTCGATCCATCGCCAGATGAAGGTTCTAAGGTGATATGTAAGATATTTATCAGTATGGCTATAGGATAGGGTCATTTCAGATTCCCTCCACTCAGTTGCTCAAGGTACTCGCTGGGGACATCTCCCTGGACACCTGTGAGCCCCTCTAGAGCCAAGTCTCTTGCCAACCCTAAGAAGGCTACCTTAATTAGGATATATATTTAAAAGCATGATTCTTTAATAGAGGTCTTCTTGAATCAGAATCAGTGGGACTGGAAAAAAAAACCCGCACAGTTGCAAAGCTGCAATTTCCCAGTCCACCAGCACAAAAGGCTCTGACCCTTATAGAAGGATATAGAAGGATAGAGAGCACTTGAATGGGGTTTGTGGGCTCAGGTGCTTGAATGCCTGCTTGGGGTTAGGAGGAAAGTGGCTGAGACCATGCCCATGGCTCAGTGCCCTCTGTCTGGGCAGGCAATGGTATCAGGTCTTCTAGGAATGCACAGACAGGAGAGGATGGCAGATTCCTGCCATCATACACAGAGATATTTCCAGGCCTCACAGTGTTCTGCATGGCATATTTAGCTATTATTCAGATAAAAAGGGTTTATGTGTATTAAGAAAAATCCTCTACACCCCTGTACAGAAGTTCAATCAAGCTAAATTATACGGAATTAAAATGCCCATGCTTTAATAAATGCAGTAGTCTCGGGTGGCGGGGGAGACAGAAAACCCAAGAGCAGTAAAACCTGGGACTATGTGTTCCTCTTCGGAGCGCCCACTTAAATACCCTGGCATTCTGGGATTTGGAGTCCAGACCAACACATCTCCCAGGTCGGGGGGAGTCCAGACCAATGCAATTTCCAGGACAGGGTGAGTGCAGAACAGTGCAACTCCCATGCCGTGGGGCGGGTGTGAGCTGGGATGGATGCCACACTCACTGGGACTGGGTTAATGCTTCCAACTTAACATCACCTTCCAGACTCTTTGGATATAGGAAGCTGAGGAGATGATAATTCCAACATTTTAGGCTCTCTTTGGAAAAAGAGACTCAAGTCTTGGCTTAGGCAGCTGGTGTTACCTGTAAAATATGCATGAAACTGGATGGGGTTAGTATAGCAGTAAAACAATTAAAGGAGTTGGAAACCCTGGATTTTACCAGACCTGATTCTGATGTAGCAATAGAATTTTTTCAGGAACCTGTAAGAGAACTGGAACAGATTTCATAGCAAAAGGCT